CCGACGCCGGCCGCCTCGCCAGCCGCCTCGCCGGCCCTGACGCCGGCCGTCTCGCCGGCTCCCTCGCCGATGGCTCCGCTGGCGCCCTCTGGCCCCGTCACCCGCGCTCGTACCGGCGTTCATCGTCCGAGCCTCCGGTACACGAGTGACGAGTATGTCCTTGCCGCCTCCACTGCGGAGCCGTCGCCTCTTCCCGTGTCCGCTCGCGCCGCCCTCCGTGATCCCCACTGGCTTGCGGCGATGCAGGAAGAGTTCGATGCGCTCCAACGGAACCGCACTTGGACACTGGTTCCCCGGCCTCCTCGCGCCAACGTCATCACCGGCAAGTGGGTCTTTCGCCATAAGACCCGCTCGGATGGCACTCTCGAGTGCTACAAGGCTCGCTGGGTGGTCTGTGGTTTTCGCCAGCGCGCTGGAGTGGACTTCACCGAGGCGTTCGCCCCGGTTGTAAAACCGGGCATGATCCGCACCGTCCTCCAGCTCGCCGTGTCCCGCGGCTGGCCCGTTCATCAGATGGATGTCTCCAACGCCTTTCTCCATGGCCTTCTTAAGGAGCATGTGTATTGTGAGCAACCCACCGGTTTTGTCCACGCCTCACTTCCCGGACATGTGTGTCTGCTGTCCCGCTCTCTTTACGGGCTCAAGCAGGCACCCCGTGCCTGGTACCAGCGGATCGCCGGGTTTCTTCAGACACTGGGCTTCAACGTTACTCGCTCGGACGCCTCGCTGTTTGTCTATCGCCACGGTGACACGACTGCATATTTGTTGCTTTACGTCGACGACATCATCCTGACTGCCTCCTCCGCAGCTGTTCTTCAGCAGATTACTCTCCGACTGCGTGACGAGTTTGCTATTAAGGACCTGGGTGCTCTACATTATTTCCTTGGCATTGAGGTCGTTCGCCGCCCGGACGGTTTCTTTCTTCATCAGCAGAAGTATGCACATGAGCTTCTTGAGCGTGCCGGTATGCTCAACTGTCACCCTGTTGCTACTCCTGTTGACACGAAGGCCAAGGTCTCTGCTCTTGAGGGCTCGCCTGCGTCGGATGCTCCTTTCTACCGGTCTATTGTTGGCGCTCTTCAGTACTTGACTCTCACTCGACCGGATCTTCAGTATGCTGTTCAGCAGGTGTGTCTCCACATGCACGCCCCTCGTGACTCTCATTGGACTCTCGTGAAGCGGATCCTTCGCTACATCCGCGGCACAATGACCCTCGGGCTGACACTCACGGCGTCTACTTCTCTGGAGATGGTGGCCTACTCCGATGCTGACTGGGCTGGCTGCCCTGACACTCGTTGGTCCACCTCTGGCTACTGCGTCTACCTCGGTCCTTCACTCGTCTCGTGATCGTCTAAGCGACAACCCACAGTTTCGCGCTCCAGCGCGGAGGCTGAGTACCGAGCTGTGGCCAACGCCGTTGCCGAGTGCACCTGGCTACGACAGTTACTGCAGGAGCTGCATCACGACGTTTCCCAGGCTACGGTTGTCTACTGTGACAACGTCTCTGCGGTGTACCTCTCCGCCAACCCCGTTCATCATCGCCGGACTAAACACATCGAGCTGATCATTCACTTTGTGCGCGAGCAGGTGGCTCTTGGACGCATGCGGGTTCTCCATGTGTCGACCGCTCAGCAGTTCGCCGATGTGATG